TGTCAGGGTCTCCCTATAGATCCTCAACTGGCCTGGAACTCTATCCTCCTGCCTCTATCTCTGGAGTGCTGGAATTAAAGTCATGTGCCACAGTGCCAGCCTAGAGACTTATTTTAGATCCTTCAAAAAGTCATTTAGAAAGTTTGTGCACTACTTTCTAAAAACAAGGCTAAAACACTTACTTTAGTTTGATGCAATAGATGCTTATTAAGGCAAGTCATCTGGAAGGTCATTCCTGTGTTAAAAGGAAGGCAACCTAGTCTGAAAACCAACCAGTGAGCAGAAAGTAGAAAGCATTTGTGAATGGTGAAGGTTTCTAACTTGGTGGATGGTAGTTGGTTGCTATCATCAACACAGGATCTCAGACTTATGTCAGTTAGTTAAACCAGGCCTTCTGGAAGGGTTAGGAATCATTTCTATGGCCTTTGTTTACACAATAAACCGTCATTTCTGGTGGAGTTTCTAAATTTAGACAGTTTAAGTGTTTGGTATCTGTCCTGTTTTCTAGGAGTAAGTATTCTTTTTTGGAAAGGATGGTTAAGAAGCCATTATTTACCTTGGCATTCAGCTTTAATATTGTACATTTACCTTTTAAAAGATGTTTTTGAAGGGTGAATAAAGCATCTTGTAAACTGCTTTAAAGAAGTGTCTTTGCTGTGTACTGTTTTAAAATTCAATATAGAGTATTAATTTGATTTGTTTGAATCACATTTACAGTGAGCTGTTTGAAGTGGACCACATCAGAACAATTTATCACATGTTCATTGCCCTCCTCATCCTCTTCATCCTCAGCACACTTGTAGTAGATTACATTGATGAAGGCAGGTAAGACAAGTGGGTTATTGATGTCTGAAAAGTTGACAGTTTCCGTTTGCTTAAAAATTCCAAAGCAGAGCTAGAGTGGTGGCTCAGCAACTAAGAGCACTAGCTGCTCTTGCAGAGGACCTGGGTTCGATTCCCAGCACCCACATGTTGACTAACAACTGTCTATAACTCCAACTCCAGGGGATACTCTTCTGGCCTCCACAGATATTGCATGAAACGGGTACACATGCAAGCAATACACTCATATACATAAAATAAAAATAATAAATTAAATCATTTTGAAAAAATGCCGGAGCCATCATGCAACAGATGGTGATTAACACAGAAAGCCACAAAAGGCCAAAATGTAGTGAATAAGAGACTGCAGAGTGTGTGTTCCTGGGTAGGACTCCTATATTAAACCTCTGCCACTCAGGGCTCAAGGACCATTGCAGAAGAAGGATGGGAAACACTGTAAGAGCCAGGTGTGGTAGATGACCATAAGGAAACAAGTTTCCAGGTGGTGTGGAACTTGCTCATATGAACTTATAACAGTGGTGACAGCATGCATAAGACCCATATAAACTCAAACCAGGCAAAAACCCAGCATAGAAGAGGGGAAATGGGTCAGAAGCCCCCAGCCTTACCTGAGGAATTATTGGCAGCTGATTCCTGCTGGGTGAGGGACAGTTGGTCTTGTAGACCAGGCTGGCCTCAAATTTATAGCAATCCACCTGCGTCTGCTTCCCAAGTGCTGGAATTAAAGGCATGTGCCACCACACCCCGCTTGAGTTGGTCTTCTTTAAGCCAGTGACACTAGATAGGTTGGCCAGGCTCCAGTGGATGAATTCACACGGAAGGACATCTGGGAACAAAAACTTGACTTGATAGGCCTTAACATATATGATAGAGTCTATCAGGGGGAGGTTATAAAGGGTGCTGATAGGGGAGGGGGCCTAAATAGGATTAAGATGCATTATATGAAATGCACAAAAATTCAGTTTAAAAAAAAAAAAAGAAAAACAGTAAAAAAATCCAAAGCAGGGGCTAGAAGGGTTAGAAGGACGGCGCAGTGGTTATGAGCAATGGCTGCTCTTGCAGAAGACCAAGGCTTGATTCCCAGCACCCACATGACAGCTAAGAACTGTCCATAATTCCAGTTCCAAGGGATCCGATACCCCTTTCTGGCCTCTTCAGGCATTGCACACACTAGTGCACCTACATACATACAGGCAAAACACATACACATAAAAAATATTCCAAAGCAGCTGATTTAATGATTTTTTTTTCTCTCCTAAAATGTATAAGAGAAACTGGGCATGGTAGAGTATGCCTTTAATCCTCGCACTTGGGAGGCAAAGGCAGGTGGATATCTGTGAGGGAGTTCCAGGCCAGCTGGGGCTACAGGGAGACCCTGTCTCAAAAAGACCAAAAAAAAAAAAAAAAAAGTATAAGAGAGCAGCTGAAGAGATGGCTTGGTGGTTAAGAGCTTGAGTTTGTACTGTTCTTCAAGAAGACCAAGTTCAAGTCCCAGCACAAAAAACAAGTAGCTCACAGTCACCTGTAACTCCATCTCCAAAGCCTCTGGCCTTCCAAGCACCTGTACACACATACACACACAATTAAAAATAAATAAATAAGTCTTTTTAAACAGTGGGGGATTTAGCTCAGTGGTAGAGCACAAGGCCCTGGGTTCGGTCCTCAGCTCTGAAAAAAAAAATCAAAAGTAAATACCAAGGAGTGGTATAGTGAGGTCATATGGTAATCTATACAGCCTACAGAAGGGGAGAAAAGGCTTTGCTGGGTATACATCTGACAGAGTATTAATATCTAGAATATACAAAGAACTTAAAAAAGTAAACACCAAAAGATCAAACAACTGGGCTAATTTAATAAGCACATAGTTCTCAAGATAAATGGCCAATGACTGTGAAAAAAAAGTTCAGCATCACCAGCCATCAGAGAAATGCAGATATAAGTACATTGGGATTCCATCTCACTGCAATACTGCAATCAGAATAGTAGTAATCAAGAAAATAAGTAAAACAAAAACTGGCTAGGACAGAGACAAAAAGAGAGTCCTTATGTATGACTGATAGGAATGTAAGCTAGTATGGTCACTGTAGAACTCAGTGGGGTTTCCTCCAAAATCTAAAAATAGTCCTAAAGCAGTCTATTTCTATAAACCATAACCAGTAGTTTTTAGTTAACTTTCTCAAGTAGGAGAATTTGTATGTATGGCTTATTAATTTATCTATGATATACATTTAAGATATTAAAATAAATAGCTGACGAGAACTTAGGTAAAGATGCGATTTTTTTTTTTTTTTTTTTTTTTTTTGAGACAGGGTCTCCCTATAGCCTCAGCTGGCCTGGAACTTGCTATGTAGACCAGGCTGACCTCGAACTCACAGAGGTCTACCTGCCTCTGCCTCTGCCTCCCAAGTGCTGGGACCAAAGGTGTGTGCTACCATGCCCAGGTTAAAATGTGATTTTTTTTTTTTTTTTAATTTTATGTGTGTGCCTGTGTATTGCCTGCATGTAGGTAAGTGCACCCGTGTCGTGCAATGCCTGCAGAGGACAGAAGAGACTGTTGGACCCCTGGAACTGGAGTTAGGGACAGTTGTTAGCTGCCATATGGGTGCTGGGATTCAAACCCAGGTCTTCTGCAAGAACAGTGTTCTTATCTGCTGAGCCATCTCTCCAGCCCCAAAATGTGATTTTTTTAAGATTTATTTTTAATTTTTTTTGACTATGTGTATGTGTGGTATGGGTGCAGGTGCCCAAGGAGACCAGAAGCATAGGATCCCCATAGAGCTGGAGTTACAGGCAGTTGTGTGGTCACCTGGCATAGGTGCTGGGAACCAAACTTAGTTCTGCAAAAGCAGTCCATGCTCTTAACAACAGAGCCATCTCTCCAACCCTGGGATGTTTGAGGACCTCAAGGCCTAGTAAGCTTGTTTTACGGTTTAAGTAAGCAGAGGTAGTATTATATGATCTCAAAACATAAGATTAACTTTTTGGTTAAATTATTCTCACAAAATGTAATTAAAAATTAATGAATCTTTTGGGGGCTGGAGTCATAGCTCAGAGGTTAAGAGCACTGACTGCTGTTGCAGAGGACCTGGTTTGATTCCCAGCACCCACATGGTGACTGACAACCATCTGTAATTCCAGTTCCAGGGGAATCCAACACCCTCCTCTGACCCCCATGGGCATTGCATGACTCAGGTTCACTTACATACATGCAGGCAATACATTCATACACAAAATAAAAATAATAAGTTGGGCGTGGTGGCGCATGCCTTTAATCCCAGCACTTGGGAGGCAGGCAGGTGGATCTTTGTGAGCTTGAGGCCAGCCTGGTCTACATAGTGAGTTCCAGGACAGCTGGGGCTACAAGGAGACCCTGTCTCAAAAAGACAAAAAATAAATAAATAAAAAATAAAAATAACAAATATTTTTTAAAAATTAATAAATCTTGCCAGGCATAGTGGCACATGCCTTTAGTCCTAGCACTCAGGAGGCAGAGGCAGGCGGGTCTCTGAGTTCAAGGCCAGTCTGGTCTACGTAACAAGTTCCAGGCCAGCTGGGGCCATGGGGAGACCCGTCTCAAAAAGACAAAAAAAATAATAATAAATCTTTTTAAAAAATGATTTTGTAAAGCCTGGCATGGTAGTGCAGTCCTGTAATCCTACCACTTGGGAGTTAGAGACAGCAGGATCAAGAGTAGGCTTGGGTTACATGAGACTCCCCCTCCCTTTCCAAAAAAAAAAAAAAGCAATTATGATTTAAAATGACAATGTGAAATTCATAAGTTGAATTGTATGCTTTCTTGAAAAACTATGATATGTTATTAATAGTAATACTGATTGAAATTTAGTATATAGACTTTTGAACTATGTCTATTTCTGTCTGAAATTTTTCTTTTATACATATATTGCTGTTGAATATTTCAGAAGTTCACAGCCTTACTGTCTTAGGTATCTTGGGTCCAGAGGCACTGGGCGTTTAGTGAGCTTGTTGAGGTATATTGTGAAGCAGAGGGTTAGAAACAGGTTTATAGTATTACATCCATGACATTGATGTGTTAATATTACAGTATTTCTGAAGTTGAAAATTGTATGTGTGTTTAAAAGTGTAAAAATTTTGAGTGCTGAAAGCTCAGTACATACGACAGGTTCACATCTCTGTCCTTTGTGCTTTGTCCCCAGGCTGGTGCTTGAATTCAATCTCCTGGCTTATGCTTTTGGCAAACTTCCTACTGTAATTTGGACATGGTGGGCCATGTTCCTGTCTACACTTTCAATCCCCTATTTCCTGTTCCAGCGTTGGGCCAATGGCTACAGCAAGAGTTCCCATCCGCTGATCTATTCTCTTGTGCATGGCTTATTTTTCGTAGTTTTTCAGCTTGGAATTCTAGGTTTTGTCCCAACGTATGTCGTACTGGCATATACTCTGCCACCTGCTTCCCGGTTCATCATTATCCTTGAGCAGGTAAGGTTTGATTGTTACTGGAAACAGTGTTCTGCTTGGTTGAATTAACAGTAATCATCGAACACTGATACTATTAACTGGTGTTAATGCTTGAATAAATTTTCATATGTGACTCATTATACCATTATCTGTAGAACTGAAGAGTTTTTGTTGCTTTCATGGACTCCTTGATCCTCCTGCTTCCACCTCCGAAGCCCTGGATTCCAGGCATGTGCCACCATGCCTGGCTTTTTAGGATCAAAATGTTTAACTGCATCACCTCATCTTTTAAAACTGATTCTACTTTGTTTATCTGGGTCTGATAATTTAATATTGAATTATTCTGGGGAAAAATTCTAAATACTTTTTTGTAAAAGTCATCTAGAGTATATTTTTGTAATTGAAAGTTCGCTTTTCAATTATTGAACTCACTATATTGTTGTGCAACTATTGCAGCTGAAATAAGAAATGTATTTTAATTTGTTTATACTATACCTGTCAGAATTTTCAGACTTAACATTGTCTGCCTGCAATGTTCTCTTTGACCAGTGGAAAGGACCATTTCAAGAAACTTTCTTTGAACAGATTTAATTTCTTAATTTTAATTTTTAATATTTTTATTTTTATGTGTATGAGTGTATTGCTTACATGTATGTAAGCACACCATTTTTTTTTGCCTGCATATATATATAAGTGCACCCATGTCATGCTTTCTGTACGGAGGACAGAAGAGGGCATCAAATCCCTTGGAACTGAAGTTACAGATGGTTGTTAGCCACCATGTGGGTGCTAGAATTCGAACCTGGGTCTTCTGTACAAGCAACCAGTGCTCTTAACCATTGACCTAACCCCAGATTTCTTTTTTTAAAATATTTTATTTATTATCTTTTACTTTATCTGTATGAGTGTATTTCCTGCATGTTTGTGAGTATATCATGTCATGCAGTGCTTACCCAGGCCAGAAGAAGGCATTGGATCCCCTGGAACTGAAGTTATGGATGGTTGTTAGCTACCATGTGGGTGCTGTAATTCAAACCTGGATCCTCTGCAGGAAAAACTAGTGCTCTTAACTGCTGAGCTATCTCTCAGCAGTTTTGAAGCAGGGTCTCCCTGTAGCCCCAGCTGTCCTGGAACTCACTATGTAGACCAGGCTGGCCTTGAACTCACAGAGATCTGCCTGCCTCTGCCTCCCAAGTGCTGGGACTACAGGCATGTGCCACCATGCCCTGCTGATTTCTTAATTTTTTATAAGCCTATAATAGTGCTATTAGGTACAAAACAATTTGAGTAATTGTTATATGCCCTTCTTTAAAAATTCTTTTTTTTTTCAGTTTATTTGCATTACCCATGAAGGTTAATTTGGATTAATATATGCAAAATTGAATTCTTTTCTGTGAATATTATCTAGTGCTGTTTTGGAGTTGCTTATAGGTGATAAGACAGTGATAGAAAATGAATTTCCCTCCTCTCTCCTTTGGCAGATTCGGTTGATAATGAAGGCTCATTCTTTTGTCAGAGAGAATGTTCCGCGGGTACTGAATGCAGCCAAGGAGAAATCAAGTATGTAACTTACCCTAAAGGATCGCTGATGGCTTATTTAATCATCCTTTGGTGTTTACTGGAATGATACATTGCATTCGGTAGCAGCTCAGTTAAATTTTAAGTCCATTAGATCCATATTGATTTGGAAGACTCATTTCCTGACTTCTTGTTTTATCCTTTTATCTGCCTACAACTTAAAAAATGTATCATTTTAGAGGTGTCTGTAACTTAGCATTCGTGGGGTGTTAGTGGCTTCCTTCAACTTCTGTTTACTCTGCAAATAGTTGCTTCCCACTCTAGAATTTTTATTTTAGTCACAGTAATAGCTTAAAGAGATGGGCAATACTTGGTTAATGCAAGAATAACAAGTTATTTGAGTAGATGAGGAAGAAACATCATGAGCTAAGAGATCATGTCTCCTTCCTTGTTTCATACTTCCAGTTTTTGGCTCTCCTGGTTTGCTGGGAGTAGTCAGGATCTTGTAATCTAATGCAGTTTTTCTTTTCTTAGGCACAGTTCCAATACCCACAGTCAACCAGTACTTGTATTTCTTGTTTGCTCCCACCCTTATCTACCGTGACAGCTATCCCAGGTAACTATGCTGTAGGGTGGAAATGTGGGCATCACAGGTGCTGCAAGTGAAGGCACATCTAGGCAGGCCAGGTCATCTAGCACTGCAGAGAACATGGAATGGGCTCTCATTTTCTCTGTGGCACGAGAAAACTCAGGTGGTCATTCTAGCAGCCCAATTCTAATTCTTGATAGAATTAGATAATTTTGTATAGTTGTGATGCTGTTTGAAAAATTGGCACTAGAGAGGTGGTTCAGTGGTTAAGGGCACTGGCTGTTCTTGAAGAAGACCCGGGTTTGGTTCCTAGCACCCATATGGTGGCTAACAACTCTTCACAACTCTAGTTCCAGGGAATCCATCGCCCTCTTATCTCTGTGGACATTGCATAACATGCAGGAGAAACATGTAGGACATTCCAACATGCAGGAAAACACTCATACACATAAAAAATTAAAATTAATTAATTAATTTAAAAAATTAGGGGTGTGTATGTGCTAGAGATCAAATTCAAGGTGTTGTGGCATGCTAAGCACACACTCTCCCACTGTACCTCCAGCCTGTAAAGGACATTCTATGTAGAAAAACATGAATTGTTAGGTTATTTACTTAAGTTCAGTTGTTTATTTTAGAAAAATTTTTTTCCCTTTTTAGGACTCCCACTGTAAGATGGGGTTATGTTGCTATGCAGTTTTTACAGGTAACTTTAAAAACTGCCCAAGGTGTTCTTGATTGGTTAATTATATTTGTTATAATTTATTCTATTTAAAATGCTGGTAAATTTATGTCAACAAGAGGCCAAATACTTTGTTTCCTTTGTCTATATCAAATACTAGAGAATATTATGTTCATTAACCAGTTCTGTGTGGTTGTTATAGTAAGCATCTAGGTTGATATCTCCTTCTTTGATAGTTCTGGGTAGAGATTGTTTATGTGTGGGTGTGGTTCAAAGTTCCCCAATCCTCCCTCGTTCTCAGAATCATAAATCCCAGAAATTCCTAGTTTAAATTGTGTTTAAATCAAATATCCAGTCACAAAATGAGTTCTTTTGTTCTAGGCTTCATGTAGCAGGAAAAACAGGTTCTTAAATGATGATGTAAAAATGTCATTTGGTCCAGGTATGGTGAGGCATGTTTATAAACCCAGCACTCAGGAGGCTGAGCCAGGATGATTGTGAGTTTGAGGCCAGCCTGGGCAATGTAGCAAGACATAGTGTCAAAACAAAAAATCATTTAGTAAAGGATTAGGAAAAGCTATGGAAGAAATTAGGCTCAAGTACTCTGTCTGAAGGATTGTAGCAACCTTACATACTAAGGTTAAATGGAATATGTATGTAACTTAGTTTAATGGTCATCATGCTTTTCTTTGGGAAGAACACTGCCCTCTGCATTTCCTTCCCAAGCCATCATTATTTTCTTTCCTTTGTTCCAGGTCTTTGGTTGCCTGTTTTATGTATACTACATCTTTGAAAGGCTCTGTGCCCCGTTGTTTCGGAATATCAAACAGGAGCCCTTTAGTGCTCGTGTTCTGGTCCTGTGTGTTTTTAACTCCATCTTGCCAGGTAACATGGGTACTCATTAATTTGGTCACTTATATGTTCAGGAGGAAAGAAAGCTGCTGTCCATGAACACCTTTGGTTTCCCTGCTTTTCCTATAAACTGATTGACGATCTACCCATCTTAACCACTTCCCCACCCATCTTAGAAGTGAAGTGTCTTCTAGTTTCCCCTTTCACTGAAGTTTTGCTTCACTGACAATGGACAGTCCATATATATGCTGTTTCCCTTTTTCCTATTCGGTTCTCTGCAATCTCTTGATTTCATCAGGCCATTGAAATACCCTTTGTTAAAACTGCTAGTGATTGGGGCTGGAGAGATGGCTCAGCAGTTAAGAACACTGACTGTTCTTGCAGAAGACCCAGGTTTGAATCCCAGCATCCACATGGCAGCTAACAACTGTCTGTAACTCCAGTTCTAGGGGATCCAACAGCCTCTTCTGTCCTCTGTGGGCATTGTGCAACATGGGTGCACTTACCTACATGCAGGCAATACATGCATAAAAATAATTTAAAAAATATTTTAAAATTGCTAGTGACCTCCTGATGCTAAACCCAGTGGACGGTCTAGCCCTTTCCAGTATGACCTCCATAGTATGTGGTGCTGCTGTCCACATTTGAAGTTGCAGTTTGCTGCTTGCCTTTCTGTTTTCCAGCCATATGTTGTCTCTTTGCTTCATTCATGCCTTGTACTTTTTTTCTAGTGATACATGAGTACCTACTGTGTGTTGGGTGCTAAGGACTCAACAGTAAAAGAAACAAACAGTCTTTGCCCCAAGGTGTTCCCACCTTACAGTCTCCTTGGCTCACTCTTTTCATCTGTACTTAATAAGACTTGGCAATGTTCCGTTGTCACCACGTCTTCCTTCCCTTTCTCGCAGTCATCCCCGTAACAGGGATGCCTTCTCTTTGGTATCTTCCTCACTTGGCTGCAAAACCTACTCTCAGCCCATCCCATGTTGTCTGGCTCATAGCAGGTGCTGTATAAATCTTCTTTGGAGCAAATGAATAAAATAGGTGAACATGTAAATGGATTTTTTAGAATACTGTGTAATAAGTACTGTATAAATAGAATCGTTTATAGGCTTTATTTCATATTAGAGATGACATTTAGCATTGGGCCTTGAAAAATATGTTGGCATTTGTCTGGAGAAAAGATTTTGAGGCAGAACGATGGATATAAAGACCTGGAGCACTTTGGAATGGCAGAATTTGCAACACTAGGAGTCGAGCTTTTGGAGATAAATTAAAAATCAGATATGTTAACCATGTAGCTGTTAATACTTTTGGCTGGATAATTCTTAGTTTGGGGGGCTCTCTTGTGCATTGTAAGGTATTTAGCAGAATTCTGGCCTTTAGTACCTAGATACCAGTGGCTTGATGTCCATCTTTACAGTTGTGCCAACCAGACATGTTTCCAGAGTTGTTTATCCCAGAGAGAGAGGGGACAAAATCTCTACATTTTTAACAGTTGGTTTAGAGAGATGTTGTAGGGACCATGTTTTGAAAGGTCTTAGGTACAAAGGTAGGCTGTATATCAAGGCATTTCTTTAAAACAGGCTGGGGCCATCTGTTCCCTTTAAAACTACTGGGAAGGAAGTTATTGCTTTAAAAGTATACTATCATTTCTAGTCAGGTGGAATAGCAAATTTGACTTTTACAGTATTATTACAGCCAAATAAATGATGGTGTATTAATGACTTGATATGTGAGCTGTTTGGAAAAACTCTTCATTGTTGTTAATCTTACTTTTAGGAGTGCTGATGCTGTTCCTTTCTTTCTTTGCCTTTTTGCACTGCTGGCTCAATGCCTTTGCTGAGATGTTGCGCTTTGGTGACAGGATGTTTTATAAGGTGATGTATATACTTGGTTTTTCTTTTCACATCGTGTATGTGTGTGTGTGTGTGTGTGTGTGTGTGTGTGTGTGTGTGTAACTTATTAATGGGAGGGACGGACACTCGTGCCACAGTGTTTGTGTGGAGGTCAGGGAATAATTTGTAGTTTTTGATTCTCTGTACCATTTGAGCCCTGGAACTCCTACTCGGGTGATAGCCAAGTTTGGTGACAAGCGCCTTTATCTGCCAAACCATCTTTTTGGCCCTCACATCCTATTTTATTTGCTCCTTGTTAGTTTTGCCAATATTGAGTCTGAAATAATGCAGATATAATTTACATCGTCTTTTCTACCTCTGATTTCTGCTCCTCTAATGTAGCATAAGGGCCTTGACATTTCAGCACTCTCAAGACAGAGGCAGGAGTATTGCTGTGAGTTTAAGGCCATCCTGGGCTACATAGTGAGTTCCAGGATACCTTGGGCAATGGTAGAGTAGGACTCTGTCTCAGTCTTCCCTCTTCTCACCTCCACAAAGAAATGTAGCATATGGTTCCTATTGGGTCCTGTGAAGATATTGGTGACTATGGCAGGAGAATACTTGTCCAGAGGGTATTATGAGAACTCTACCACTGTTCATTTGAAATTGGCTCTTCTACAAAGCAACCTTAGCAGATTGGTCCATGTAAGACTGTTGAGCAGTTATGAGGACAATAACATTTCCTTCTATTGTTTTAAAAACCATTATATGGGACTGGAGAGATGGATCAGTGGTTAAAAGCACTGACTGCTCTTGCAGAGGACCCGGCACCCACATGGTGGCTGCAAACCGTCCTTAACTCCAGTTCCAGGGGAATCCGAAGCCCTCTTCTGACCTCTGCAGCATTGCATGACACGGGTGCACTCACATACATGCAGGCAATACACTCATACACATAAAATAAAAATAATAATAAAAATAAAAATTTTTTTTTAAAAAGTATTATATCTCCTTAAAATGGGTTCTTGGGGCTGGAGAGATGGCACAGCAGTTAAGAACACTGGTTGTTCTTGCAGAAGACCCGGGTTCAAATCCCAGCACCCACATGGCAGCTAACAACTCTCTGTAACTCCAGTCCCAGGGTATCCAACAGCCTCTTCTGACCTCTGTGGGCATTGTGTGACATGGGTGCGCTTACCTACATGCAGGCAATATACGCATACATATAAAATAAAAAATTTTTAAAAATGGGTTCTTCACACTTCTAGAGCTAGACTTCCTGGGGCTTCTGTAAACTACTGAAGCCCTCACATTTTTTGTTTGGGCAACATTCTAAGTGTACCACTCCTTTCTCAAAGATAGGAAGTGTAGGTTGCATATTTTAGATCTCTGGCTGTATTCGTCCAATCTTAAAATTGGGAGCGAGGAATTTTCAAAAAGGACCCTGGGACTTGGAGGTAGCCACCATCTCACTCCTTTTATTTAAATGTTGCTCTTATAGTCCAACTATCTGCTCACTGTTAGTACTTGGTTCTCCCATTATGTTTAACAAGGTAAGGAGGAAGTTCACTGATTGCTGTTACAAAAACTTTAGATTTAAAATGATTCTTTGTGTTCTGTATCTTTCATTATAACTTGTTTGATAATGAGACAACTATATCATAGCTCCAGATTAACATATTGAACACAAAATAACCAAAATGATTTAAGATTTCTGACATCAGGGTATGAACCAACAGTTTTGTTTTTTTTGTTTTTTTTTTTTAATCATGGTATTCTCTGGGCTTAACATCTTACATGGATGTTCTTTGGGAATATTCAGGTTTTTTTTTTTTTTTCATGCATGTGATTTTTATGTCTTTGTCTTTCCCTCAGGACTGGTGGAACTCTACTTCATACTCCAACTACTACAGGACTTGGAATGTGGTGGTCCATGACTGGCTATATTACTATGCTTATAAGGACCTCCTCTGGGTAAGGAGCAGGGATTTAAGGAATAGGATTCTTTTCCAGAAGTGTTAATATTGCACAAGCTTAGAAGAATTGTGCTTAATTGCTTGGGAAAAGAAAGAGGGAGCTGGGCGTGGTGGCACATGCCTTAAATCCCAGCACTTGGGAGGCAGAGGCAGGAGGATCTTTGTGAGTTCGAGGCCAGCCTGGTCTACATAGTGAGTTCCAGAACAGCTGGGGCTACAAGGAGACCCTGTGTCAAAAAGACAAAAAAAAAAAAAAAAAAAAAAAAAAAAAAAAAAAGAGGGATAGTTCCTTGTCTGCTTTTTTTAATGTGATGTTTACATCAAAGTAGCTTTATTCTTTGAGCAGTACTGTGTGGAAACCAGTGTGTACAGCATTAGGATAATACCATGTTTTGCTCTGGATTTTGTTCTGACTGCAAAGTCAGAATTCTTGGAGACGTGTGACTGAGTTGAAGTGATCCATCGCCAATGGGCCATTCAGAATCTCATTGTCCAAAAATAATCTCCCCCTGGCTTTTTCTTTCATTTGGTTTTGTTTCATTGTTAAAAGTTGAGAAATATTTGTCTTTGGATTTACAGCTCTCTAGCTAGTGACCCTTTTATGCAAGGCATGCTTTGGAGCAGAATGTATTTGAAGTAATTAAGTATAATCTGTGTCTTACAGGTTAACACTAGTGTCTCATAAGCAATTTTCATCGTTAAGTAAGGCTATTATTTGGCTAAGCATCTTGTGGAGGAAATAGCAGTGTATTTGAGTGAGAGTTCTCCCATTTATAAGTGAGGTTCCACAGGGGGATGAGGCAAGTCCCTTCTTTCTAAATCTTAGTTTTAGAGAGAATGCCTATCCTATTTACTGAACAGTGTCCCCTTGATGGTTTACATTTGAGTCAGGTATGGTCCTGTAGGCACTTGGAAGGTGGAGAATTCAAGACTAGCCTGGTACATGAACCATGCCTCAGAAAACATTAAATAAGACTGGGGAGATGGCTCGGTGGTTTAGAGCACTTGCTGTGCAAGCATGAAGCACCCAAGTTCAAATCCCCAGAACCAATTTAAAAAGCCAGGGATCATTACATGTGCCTGTAACTCCCACAGGCAGAAACAGGAGAATCTCTGGGTCTTGCTGGCCACCAACCTAGCTTCAGGTTTCAGTGACAGACTCTCAAGGGAACAAGGTGGGAATAATAGGACACATAATGTCCTCTTCTGGGAGATACATGCACACACACCACATTCCCATGCACTGTACTCACACACATATACATGCACATTAAAAGAAAAAACAAGGGTTAGAGAGATGGCTCAGTTATTAAGAGCACTGGCTGCTCTTGCAGAGGACCTGGGTTCATTTCCCAGCATCCACATGGTAACTAACGACTGCCTATAACTCCAGTTTCAGGGGAATCTAATGCCTTCTTACCTCCATGGGCATTGTACAACACAGGTACATTTACACACTGCAGGCAATACATTCATACCTAAAAAAATAATAAAATGTTTTTTAAAAAAGAAAACACAATAAACAGAAATTTGATGCGTTTTTTATACATGAAAGCTTTTCAACTGTAATATTATTTAAAAATAAGTTCAACTAATGTCATTAAAAATATTGTTGAGCTGGGCACTGTGATGCATGTCTAGAATCCAGGGTACATGGGAGGACCATTGTTTAAGTCCATCATGAGGAATATATAAGACCCCGTGTTAAGCAACAAAATAAAACTGATAGCTTTGAAAGTATGCCCTTATCTTTGAACATAAATCTTTGGAATAATGCCTTTTAATAAATAGATGTTTATCAGGAATGGTGGTGCATGCATTTAATTCCAGCAGAGACAGAGGCAGAGGCAGAGGCAGAGGCAGAGGCAGAGGCAGAGGCAGGCAGATCACTGTGAGATTGAGACCAGCCTGGTCATCACAGTAAGTTCTAGGTGAGCTGTGGCTACAAGGAGACCCTGTCTCAGAAAAACCAAAAAAAAAAAAAAGGGGTTTATGAGTTTCCATGGTAGTTACTTTTGTACCATGTAACAAAATAACTGACATAGCATAAAAGAGGAAGGATTGGTTTGGGCTCTTGGTTTTAGGGGATTCGATCCTTGGTTGTTTGGCTCCATGTTTTAGAGCCCATTGTGAGGCAGAACATTTGACTTAAGGGCTGTTCATTTCACTGGTAACAGGGGAGAGGGGGAAGGAGGGGGGAAGGAGGGGAGGGAGGGAGGGGGAGAGAGAGAGAGAGAGAGAGAGAGAGAGAGAGAGAGAGAGGAGAGAGAAAAGGTACCTCTAAGTGCTGCCCTCAGTGACCTACTTCTCCGAGCCAGTTCCACCTTGTAAAATTTCTAGAACTCCCCCCAAATTGTGCCACCAGCTGGAAACCAAACCCCCAATGCCTGAGCCTTTATGGGAATACTTCATATCTAAACTAGAGCAATTGAGCCTGTTTTTTCGGTCATTATTTTATTGGGATTAGGCTTGGAAAATCAAATACAAACAGATGTATGTGATAACTATGTCTAATATAGTTCATACTAAATTCTTTAAAAAATATATTCTTTGATAATTCTCTTTGTGCCTTAGTTTTTCTCGAAGAGGTTCAAATCTGCTGCCATGTTAGCTGTCTTTGCTCTGTCAGCTGTGGTACATGAATATGCCCTGGCCGTCTGCTTGAGCTATTTCTATCCAGTGCTCTTCGTGCTCTTCATGTTCTTTGGAAGTAAGTGTCTTGAGCTGCTGTGGGCTACGGGAGAAAAGCAGAGAGGAAACTGAAGTCAACATAGAAAAAGCAAGACCATCTCAAGGTGCAGTTTGTTGATCAGGTGGTCAGAATGTTGACTCTGAACAATTATATGCAGTTGTGTCTAAAGGTGTTTAGGCACTGAGGGGAGGACATGAGTCAGGTGGCCTCTTGAGGACCATTCATGAAAGCTGTTGGCATGCACTCCTGACAGCTGGCCTGTTTTTGAATGTGCAGAGGAATAGATTAATAATTCTGTGAGATGTATTTTCATTTGTTCTGAATACTGTTGATTTCCTCTTAATTAGTGTTAGATAAATTTCAATACTTAAGCTTCATTTTTATGTATAGAACAACTGACCAGAATTAAATATCCATTCAAGTGGCTGGTGCTTATTGTGATGATTAAGTTTTTAAAAATTAATTGTTTTATGTATATGAATATTTTGTGTGTATGCATGTATGTGAACCTTGTACATGCAAACCCATGAAGGCCAGAAGAGGGTGATGGATCCCTGGAACAGATGTTAAGGACAGCTGTTAGCTTCTCTGTGAGTGCTGGGAACTGAACCCAGGTCCTCTGCAGGAGCGACCAGTGCTCTTAACTGCTGAGCCATCTCTCTAGGCCCCAAATTTGTTTATTTATTTTAATTTCTATGTGTATGAAGTTGTGCTGGCATGCATGTAAGTGAACCCATGCTTGCAATGCTCGCGGAGGCCAGAAGAGGGCATCAGATCCTCCAGAACCGGAGTTATGGATGGTTGTTAGTTGGCATGTGGGTGCTGGGAACCCAAACTGGCTCCTCTACAAGAGCAACTAGTGATGTTAACCACTGGGCCCTCTCTGCAGCCCCTCGACGTGATGATTAAATAACAACAGCATATAGCTGAGCCCTGTCATCCTCTGGCATATTATGGTTTGATAACTATTTAATTTTGTTCTCTTTCTAACACCAGTGGCTTTTAACTTCATTGTCAACGATAGTCGGAAGAGGCCAATTTGGAATATTATGGTGTGGGCGTCCCTCTTCTTGGGCCAGGGAGTCATTCTGTGCTTTTATTCTCAAGAATGGTATGCCCGTCAGCACTGTCCGCTGAAGAATGTGAGTCACCAGGCCTGCGTGGGTGCTATCCCCTGGTGCAAGGGGGTGGGGTTAAGAAGAGAGTGGAAAATATGATGAGTTTATTAAGGGAAGTAGGAAATAAATGCATTTGCTCCTTCTCCAGTCTGACTGCTACCCTGGAAATTTCTCATTTCTTTGTTCTTTATTGAACTTCCTCAGGTCTTTGTTTCCTTCTTTCTTTACTTCCCTGTGGTTTTCTTCCTGGCTCCTGAAAATGTAGGCATTCTCTAGGCTTTTCCCAATGGCATGCATGTTCCTTCCACTGAACACAGATATTTTTCACTTCTTCACCTCCCCCAAAGTAATACCTCTTATAAAAATGGCAAGCGAAACTGATAAGCCCAGGATTGCATTTCCCTTTTTTTTTTTTTTTTATAATTATGTTTAGGTTTTGTTTATTCTTAGAGGGTTCATGGCAGGGGCAGGGGGTTGTTTTGTTTCGTTAACCTATAGATGGATAATTCCAAAATTTATATGGGGGATGGTAAGGTGGAGGATTCCCTCTTGGTGTATCTGCCTGGGTATTTCTTTCTTCTAGGTACCTGTAACTGATGGTTATCCCTAGTCAGAGCCTCTTCACTTTTCTGTCTCTGTATGCCTTTTGTCACACAGCCTCCATTCTCCCTCCTTACTTTCTGTTGGTTCCTTCCATGCATCTGATGTAGTGGCTCTTGGCTCTGCACTCTGTCCGTGATCTTGCTGCTCTTGATACTTAGGTTCCATGTCAGATTTTGTTCTACCAAAATCCAGTTTGGATGCTATATCTTCCGTGAAAGTTTTTCCAATTCTTGCCTCTTGTCTTTCCTGTTTTGAACTTTCACAGTACTTCATCTGCTCCTCCTTGAAATAGTTCACTAATTGAAGACCTTGCATTATAGTCATTTGAATACAGGTTTTAGTATCTTAACTCTACCACTATTTAGATTTTAGGCTTAACTATTCTCCCATTGTTTTTTTCCATTATAGCCTACATTTCTGGATTATGTCCGACCACGTTCCTGGACTTGTCGTTACGTATTTTAGAAGCCTAGACTTTGCTTCTTTCTGCATCACTGAAGATCAGTTATTCATCTTGATTTGGAATCAGCTGTTTCCAGCTGTTAGTGAACACATGTATGTCATGTTGGTTGGACCACTCTAGCCTCTCCAGATGGCTCACTCCATTCCTTGCTCCACTGAAGCTGGACTGTTGAAAGTTCACCTAACAGTTTTGCATTTTGTTTCCTTTTGGAAAGAAAGGAGACTTGTAGACGAAGTCAGGGCAGATTTTTGCTGGGTCATCTCAGCTTAAACCTTGGTAATTTTATCTGCTTTGTTCCTTGATTCTGTCCACCCAGGGACTAAATATGTTATCTTGGCCACTGAATTAGCCAAAACACTTATGAAGAAATCATTTCAGTAACTCTGGCTTAGGATTTTTGTCATGCTAATTAAATATGTAATTGGGGGATAAACAAAATTTTCTATTTCTAGTAGAAAGAGAGAAACTATCTATTTTCCAAAGATAATCTTGTTATACATTGTGTTTAGAATCTTTTGATGTTTTGTTTTGTTCTGCTGTGGTACTGGGGATAGAATCCAGAGCCTGGCTTGGTGGCAGTGTGCTACCACTGAGCTACACCTCCAGCCCCTAGGCTGTATTTTTCTGAAAGTTCACATCTCAGTTTTTTCATTTTCTGTATAATATGTCATAATTTCTGTGAAACAGCTAGCTGCCTTTCACTTTGAATTCAGTAATAATATATATTCAGGGGATCGGAAGTCAGAAAGGAAAAAGACAGACAAAACATTTCCTTCTGAAACTTCAAACATCATTTTTACAAAAAGATTTGCTGAGCCGTGTTTTAATTATTCTATCATAGAATTTATATGGAAGATTTTTGTTGTTTTGTTTTGGTGTTTTTTTTTTTTTTTTAAAGAGGCAGGCTGGCCTTAAACTACCCCTGATCCTTTTATCCCTGCCTCCCAAGTGCCAGGATTACAGGAATGTATCACCATGCCTGGTAAGACTTTTTAACTTAAGGTACAACTTCTTTGAAGTTACTTAGAAGTATCTTTTGGTAAAATTACTTTATTGTCTAATAAGTATTGACTTTCTTTGTTATTTTGCAGACTAATGAATCCATAATGTATTAATCGCTCTACTAATACTGAAATGATCTTTAAGAATCCAGAAGCTGGCTTCTGGAGCATCTGTTTAATCATTATACTTTTAACAATATATTTTTAGATGAAATAAATTAATATGTGATCATTTGTAAGGACATGTACTCTATTATGTGTCATTTCCAAGTTGTAAGATGCCTGTTCCTAAGCTGGTATGGTGCGTAGGGATTGCTGTGCTTGTATGCATGGGGTGTGATGCATATAAAGTCTGTAAAGATTGTGCGTTGGAACAGATGTCAGAGAACATGTAGTTCAATCTTCTGCCCAAAGAAGTGAGACTTCTGAGTTGCTCAGATGCTGATTGTTACATGGCACAACCACTTGAGAGATTTCCTTGGTGTTAGCAACTATCCATACAGTTGTGGGAAGTCTTTTCAAGATTATTTTAAAGTCATTTTGAGTCTCACAAGACACTATGGAGTTTCTTAATAATCACCCTTAATCTGGACCCTGTTTCTTCAGCTTAATCACCTCTTTTATTCATTATACCTTTGACCTAGATGAATTGAGGCTGTTTTCAAACATAAGATCCAACTTCAGCAGATACAGCTTTTTCTGTTCCCAGGAAGTAATGCTCTGCACAGTGGTATTGTCACGGAATCTTAACCTCTCAACAAGCCCGCTGTGCTGAAGTTCTGTAGACCTCTTAAAAATTAAGAGTCATTCATTAGAATGTGTAACTATATTTAAAATATAATGTGGGAACTGAGTGGTCTGTGACTTGATTATGCAAGCCAGTCTCTTGAAGCAAAAGAATGAAATTCTTAGGTGTCATCTCTGTGAAGGAACTGCATATACAGTTTCATGAGAGGACTGGGTTCCATAGCAGTTTGTTGGCTTGATCAAGGCTGCTCTTCCCTTTCACTCACTCTTTTTTGAGGCAGGGTCTTGCTTTGCAGCCCAGTCTGGCCTAGAACTGATCATCCTCCTTCCTCAGCCTCCCCAGTGCTGGGATTACAAGCATGAGGCCACCATACCAGGGAAGGCCTTTGATTAGTAGTGTTTTGCCCAAATTTTAAAAGATAATCAATAATGTGTGTAGGACCACAAACTGCTTATAATACTAATGGATTCTCTTAAGAAAACGTACATATAAAACAAATACATAACACTTTTTTTTAATTTTAATTTTATTTTATGTGTATGTGTGTGTTGCCTGCATGTAGGTCAGTGCACCCGTGTCATGCAATGCCCAAGGTCAGAAGAGGCTGTTGGATCTCCTGGGACTGGAGTTATGGACAGTTGTAAGCTGCCATGTGGGTGCTGGGATTTGAACCCGGGTCTTCTGCAAGAACAACCAGTGTTCTTAACTGCTGAGCTATCTTTCCAGCCCCCATCACTTAAATGACAAATGACTACATTTTGTGAAAGGAGACTAGACAGTCACGATCACATCGCAAGCTGCATTTAGCAGAACTCTACAAGCCACAGCTCTGCTCTTTAAAAAAATTAAAGCTAAAACTTCTTCCTGATAATGTTTTTCAAGAAGGTTCATTTATCTTTCCCTGTTTTACTAATGGGGTGAAAAATATTTTGTTACAGAATGATACTTTTTAATCTTCTTCAAAGTACTGAATTTAGTACTTCTGTAAGAAGAATTAATGGTCAGTCATAACCGTGATTGTAGATGACTGTACAAGAAAATAATAGACCAGTATGTACAGTACTTTCCTTCCTGTTTAGACCTCTAATTTGGCCTTTTATTACCCCTGTGTTGGGTAAATGTGTTGGATGCCTTTATGCTCAATCTGGTTTGGGGGCGGAGTGCAAATTTAGTTTTGGTGGTGGAGTAATGTACTGAAATTGCCAAGGTAAAGTTGCTTGCCTCACATTAGAATTTATTTAGAAAATGAAGGCTGCTTTTAACCTGTCAGTAACTACAGCATTTGGAAGCAAAGGGAGTAGGGGAAATGTTTGCTCTTTTTAATTGCCAGGTAAAAGTTGGTGATATTGGCAGGTTAAAAAGTGTAAGGAGCCAGGCGTGGTGGTACACGCCTTTAATCCCAGCATAGGAGGCAGAGGCAGGTGGAACTCTGTGAGTTCAAGGCCAGTGTGGTCTACATAGTGAGTTCCAGGACAGCTGGGGCTACAGGGAGACCCTGTCTCAAAAAAAAAAAAAAAAAAAAAAAGAGTGTAATGATGAGCTGGAGAGATGGCTGAGCAGTGGTGAGCCTTTGCTACTCTTCCATCCGACCCAAGTTCAGTTCTGAGCACCCACATTGAGTGGCACTGTGCCACTTGTGACTCCAGCTCCAGGGGAATCCAGTGCCCTTTTCTGGCCTCCAAAGGCACCCTGATGCTTGTGGCTTTTGGCCACATAAATAAACACAAAATTCTTTACAAAAAGAAAGTATAATGTATAAATAATCTATTTGCAAACAGATTGTTATAAAACTAATTCATTGAGTGTATGCAACTTGTTTTGTAATTTTAAAACTATTCTAAATAAATGGACTTAAGAGACTTTGTAGACAACAGGTCATAATATGTTTGAAAATTACTCACTTGGTCTACGTAACATATAAAGAAGGAATTTATAAGTTGTTGAGAGATCTCACACACAAAAAAGTGTTTTGCGTGAGTGCAAGACATTCTGAGGCAAATCCATTTGTTTCATGTGGAGGGAGAAAAATGATGTTAAACTAATGTGACTGTAGTAACAAGATTCCTGATATAGTGGAGCAATTCAAACATTAGATGGGGCATCATTTTAAAAGTAAATTGTGGGTATTCCTCCCTTGGGGCCCCTCTCACTCTCTGGAGTGCTTTCTCTCCTAGGACTGCATAAACTGGGCATGATGGTACATATGTGTAATCTTAGCCCAGGGGAGTTTCAGAAATTCTAGGTTATTCCTCGTTACAAAACAAGTTGGATCTAGAGGCCAGCCTGGGCTGCATGTGGTCCTGTTACTAAAAAAAAAAAAAAAAAAAAAAAAAAAATTGTTACATCACATAAGACATAATATACCTACTTGAGGATTGTTCTCAACTGTGAACCTTGGTTCTCTCCTGCCCCAGAATACCTAGTTTTGAGAAACAGCAATGAGGTAAATGAAACATGGGCCTTTGGTTAAAATACCCCTGTACTCAGCAGCGTGACCTGGCCAGAACTGCCTAATTTATCAGAGCCAGAGTTTTCCCCATCTGTGAAGTGGGGGTGATGACTACCTCATGGGATTGCTGTAAAGCATTAGCCCTGGCAGAAACACAACCTTATCATTTTCTTCATCTCCATAAATTTGAAACCTAAATTCTAATTGTTAGCTTTTAAAAATGTGAATGCTTCAAATGATGCATGTTCACAAGAATTCCTGCTGTATTCCCACTGTTCTAAACAACCCTTCAGGACCAGCTCCTTGATGTCACTTACCTGCTTTTGATTTTTGTTCATGTTTGTTTTGAGACAGAGTCTCATTCTGTAGCCATCTGCCTCAGCCTCCTGAGTACTAGAATGACAGATGGGAGCCACCACACCTGGCTTTCCTAATCATTTTAAACAAGATTGTCATAGGCATTCACTCTTTTCAAAATCACTTTGAGTTTCTTTAACCTTAGAGTACGGTGGCAAGCTTCTAGAGAATATTGTTGCTGTTACTTAGGTGTTTAAATCAAGTATTTAGAGGTAGAATATACATTTTATAGCGAAGTCCTGAAATTTGCAAAGTGGAAGGGAGCTAATGAAGACTTATTTCAGTATAAAGAATGCTTTGTAGTCTTGGGAAACAGTAAATTTGGTTGATTTTTTTTTTTCCAGTAATGGGATTAAACCCAGGGCCTTGTTCGTGCTAGGCAAACACTCTACCAATGAGTTAGTCCCAGTCCTAGAATAAATTCCTTAATGGAAAATAGCGCATTACTTTTATTAATAAAGTTTGAGTGTCTTGCTTGCTAATCTTGTACAGTAATTTCCTGTAATGTAAATTAGACAATACCATGTATATCCATATATCTACACACACTGGCAAAGAAATACTCCTGGTACAGTGTATGGCTGTGAAATTGAAGGAACTAGAAAAAAGGTTTTGAGGAAAGAGTACATATTATTGACACTTCTGTAAGGATTTGATTGGTTTTAATGTCACTGAAGTTTCTGTCAGGTAATCAAGTGTTGAGACACCTTGTTGAAATAAAATGCTGCATATAAGCCTGGTTTATATAGAAAATAAATTAACAGCTAGATGTTGAAACTAAGAGATCTGAATCCTTCTCCACCCCCAGTTTAATAACCAGCTTAGAAATCAGCAGACTAATAATAAGCTTTAGGATAGTGGGAGAGCTCTGTAATCTATAGTCTTCTAAATCCTTAGTGAATTTTTTTTGTCCTGCATAATACAGACTTTCAAATAGCTAATTTAAACTTTGGAAAACAAATTGTTTACAGAACTGATCCAGTTTTTCTTTTCAGTCTAAAACTGCTCCATTGTCTCCTTTTCCCTAATTCTTATGCTTATTTACATAAACACACTTCACAGTCCTCTTTCCATATGACTTCCCCAGTGGAGCGTTGCACTGACCTTCACAGAAGATGCTGCACCAGGCCTTGTGGGGTGTTGTCTTATTGAAAAAGCAGTTGTACTTTGTTTTAAATACCACTGAAACAGGCAATTCACACACCTAGTCACTAGAGATGCAGTTTGAATTCTCATGTGTCACTGTGCCAATTGTTGGGTGTGGAAACCCTGGTCAAGGACCTGCAATTTGGACCAGTGCACCCACTTCCTATGCCTACACCTCTCCATCCTGTGCCTGAGTTCACAGGTTCTAAGAGCAGGGGGCAGTCACAGAAGCTCAAATTGTTTCTAAAGATTTTTTTAATAGGGTTTTTTTTCCGGGGGGTTCCTGATTATTCTTACTCCTCCCCATTTCTATTACTTCCCGCCCTGCGGATCTTTGTCTAGTCACTGGTGTGATGAGTTTGTCTAATATGTATTATATTAGCATTTCTCTAAAATTTTCTTAAATTTTTATGTTCATGTCCAAAATGGCAAAATCTGCATATTTGAAAAAATGTAATAAATAAATATATTTACAAAAAAAAACCTCTTTCCTGTGTGTGTGTGTGTGTGTGTGTGTGTGTGTGTGTGTGTGTGTAGTTTTTTTGTTTTTGTTTTTTGAGACATAATCTCCCTGTAGTCCCAGTTGGCCTGGAACTCATGAGTTATGTAGACTAGGCTGGCCCCCAACTCAGAGAGCTCCTCCTGCTTCTGCCTCTGCCTCCTGAGTGCTAGATTAAAGGCACCACTATGCCCAGTCAAGAAATTTATTTTAAAGCAATTCTTTGGTATACATATAAATTTACTGTTTATTAAAGATGAAGGCAGATTTGCATACTAATGAGATAGATGTGCTTCTTTATTTTCAGAGTGTTAAATCCTGAGTGAATGTTTAATTCTCTAGGGTGTAGAGCATCTTCAATGTTTTTCACAGTTGATACTTTGATTTTATAATCATCAACGCTGAGAACACAGTTTTGCATAAGTTATGTAGTCTAAAGTGGCAAAAGTGTGTTTAGGGCCATTTCAGAAATTGTTGGAAAGTCTATCGTAATCCCAAGCCCAAAATCATTTTTTCCCCCTGAAACAAGGTCTCTTGTAGACCAAGCTGGTCTAGAATTCAATATATAGCTGAGAATGACCTTGAACTCTCGATCCTCCGGCCTCCACCTCTCAAGTGCTGGGATTTTAGGTGTAGTCCATCACACTCTGCCATTTAATGATTTTAATTTTATTTTTTAATGAAACTCAAGTCAGCAACTCTAACAGCAGTTTTTAGAACCAATAGCCTAACAATACAATTCAAAAATTGACCACTGAGGAATGATATAAGGAAACAAAAGTTAAAACATTAAAAGTCCCTTTTCTTTAATTAATCCATTATGTATGTTTCTGTAAGTGCAGGACACTTTGTAAGTATGGGAAAAGCACTGCAGTTCATAATATAGTCTTGAATCCAAGCTGAGGTGTTTCAGGCAAGGTTCTTGGTGTCATATGGCTCAATATATATTCAGTACAACATGCACGTACACATGTGTGCTCAGAACTAGCTGCAGTGAATTTACATGAAACACTTTGAATTCATTACACATTTGATTTTTGGTTGTTTCATGGTCAGAAATTATTTTATTGTTACCAAATTTTTGCAACCCTCCACATTCAGTTGTATTATGTGGGGTCCCAATGCACAATTTAAAAAAAGAAACTGGCCTATAGGAGACCATAAACATGATTTCCATGAGAAGGGAGACTAAGGAGCTTCGTCAGCATCACAGGCTTAGAGGAGTAAGCTAGTCAGCAGGGCAGAAGCAGGAGGGTGACTGCAAGTTCAAGGTTAGCCTGGTCTACATAGGGAGTTCTCAGCCAGTCAGGGCAACATAGTGAGAACTTTGTCTCCAAATGAAAAAGGAAAGGAAAGAATGGAAGGGAGGGAGGGAGCTAGCAAACATCTCTCTTTAGTCCCTGTTGTGCAAGCAACTTCTTGTGTATTCAGTATTAACTACTTCTTGTGCCTTTCATCCTAGGTCAGGCAGCTTTATAACCTGGCAATAGCTGAAAGAGAAGGGGAATAACAGAACTTCCTTATCCAGGCTGATGAAAGGAACCACCTTACTGATCACAAAGAAATACATGGGGCTGGGTCATGAAGCTGCAGGGACCCAGTTGTGGTTCTGAATTTGCATTTGTAATGGCATTGACCCTACCCTCTATTGTAGTCATTCCTTTTGGGGAGTGGGAGTCAGGGAGGGACTGCAAGGGTTTCTGTAGCCCAGGCCTCAATCCCTAAGTGCTGGGATTACTGCTGTGAGCCACCAGCTGGACCTGCTGGCACTTTGACCTTAGACTTCCCAGTCTCCACAACTGTGCGAAATAAATATCTGATATTTATAAATTATCCATCTCAGGTGGTCTGTTATAGCAGAACAAATAGACTAAGATAGTCTCTCCTGTTACCTACTGACAGTAGGAACATAGTATCATTGGTCTTTGACATTGCTGTATTCTCATTGACACCCCCCTCCCCATACAAGCAAAACACTCTACCCAAGCACCCTCTATGACCTAACCACCTATTTCTAATACAGTCCATGTGGGTGGGTAGGGAGAAATCCATTCAGAAATTAAATGCACTCATTCCTTAAACCAAATGGCTATTTATTGCCATGTAGGGGAAAGCCATAGCACTGGAATTATTATTTTTTTTAAGCAAACTTCAGGAACCCTGGGGCCCTCTGCAAGACCATCTCTCCAGCCCCAGGTCCTGACTTTTTAGGCCCTGACAAATTGCATATGGACTCAAATTAACCAAGTTTGTGCATCTGATTTATAAAGCTGACATACCAGTTTGTAAATTTAACATGAGAAAGTGCTTGTAGCTTGAGGTTGGCATTTTTCTCTCTGAAGGAGCCCAACTTACTGGAAAGGGAATTAGTCTCAGAGTATTATCATGTGCCAGGTACTGTGCTATGTACTGAAGAAATGTGTGAGTGAGACAAAAGCTGTTTCTCCTGTAGGTATATCGTGTGAATTGAATAAAAACAAAATAGGCAATTTGGGCCAGAGATATAGCTCAGTGGCAGAGCCCTTGATTAGCACGCACAAAACTCTGTGCTTGTTCCTGAGTGAGCACCGGCAAGCAAACAAGCAACCAAGGGCCGGCGCACACTCCACTACCACCACCAACTAGATAATCTGTAGCATTTCCTTTTAGGGTTGCACTAGTGCAGAAGCAACACTAGGCGCTGAAGTGTGACTAGGCAGGAATAGGTTTCCTAGGTACTCAAAAGTATCTCTTCTGGCTGGGTGTGGTGACAAATGCTTTTAATCCCACCACTTGGAAGGCAGAGGAGGGCAGATCTCTGTGAGATTGAGGCCGGCTTGGTCTACATAGTGAGTTCTAGGCCAACTGGCTACAGGGAAAGCCTGTCTCAAATAGACTCCCCCTCAAAAAAGTATCTCTTCTGAACAGTTCCTAATTAAGTCAGGTATGCATGCCTATGAACTGAACACTGGAGGCTGAGGTGGGAGAAGCTATCCAAGAGAAGATCCAGAAGGTCGTGAAATGGGAGGACCTCTTCATCAAGTTGTGGCCCACCTTTAAAACTACTCAAGTTTGTGGGAAGACCCTCATAGATCTGAAACTGTACTGTCTGGATCTGATATTTAAAAACAGCCGCAGCTCAGCTAGATCAAAGGTGGAGTGAATAAAAGAGGCAATTAAACTGAAGGAACAGGGTCCAGATGAAGGTGATAAGAAACCCTACAGGTCCAGACAGTACAGTTGCAGATCTATGAGGGTCTCCCCACAGGCATCCTTCAGTAGTAGGTGGATGCTGGGATTCCCCGGAGTTATTTGGCATTGCATCTCTGCCTTAATAAGAACTGGTCCCAGCTGCACTGGAAAGAAATGATAGGATGTCCTGGCAGGCTTTTTGTTTGTTTTGTTTTGAATGTATGTGTGTGTACATATGCCACCTGCGTGCAGGTACCATGGGAGGCCAGAAAAGGGCATCGGATCCTCTGGAGTTGTTGGGAACTGCCTGTGAATACTGGAAACTTAACTCTGGCCCTCTGCAGGAGGCAGCAAGCACTCTACTAGGCCATCTCTCCAGCCCCTTAAAGATGTATTTATTTTTAAATGTTTATTTATGTCATCTTGACAGGTTAATGGTAAGATCCAGTGACTTTTTTTTTTTTTAAACCCAGCTTGGTTTCAGTGTAGATTCCCCTGCTGGGGGTGGGGAGAGCGAGATACACCCTCTTTACACACTGGGGAAAGGGGGGGGAGGCTAGGACAAGACTGGCCACGTGATCCCCAAGCCGTGGTCTCCCCATGACAGGTAATAGTTCTATCACCGAGCTACCTTCCAACCAGAACTCTGGGTTTTATTTGGCCAATTTGGATATTTATAAAAATATGCAAGAAAACAATAACAAAGACAGACTCACAGATGAAAACTGCTCTGTAATGGTCACAGTCTTCCAAAGAAGGAGCGGCTCAGTTCGGGCCTGCGCTTGCGCAGTCCGCAGCCGGAACAGGGCTACTGTCCGATTTTGTGACAACGACACAATTAAGTATTTTTTCTTCCTTATTGCTACTATGCAGTGACTGAAAATACATGGACACTACTAGCGAATGGAGGGACTGTTTTTCATCCGTCCCCCTCCTTTGCCAGCGCGGTTGGAGGCAGCCCCGACCGTGGGTTGCTAGGACACGGGGTCCTGCGTTGCTATGACGACGCAGGGTGTTCCAGGGTAGGGCGAGGTGGCCAACGCCTGGCGGAAAACCCATCTAGTTTGTAGGCGGGTCCGGGTTTCTGGGAGCCTTAGCTGAAGAACCGTCTCGTTCCGCTGGACCCCCGAGCCTCGCCCGCCCTACATCCCGAGTCCCACCACCTTCGCCCTCATGTCAGGTGATGCTGGACAGCACCCAGGGCTCCCCGAGAAGGGAAACCATGCTAGGTGAATTCTGAACTCCGATCTGACCATACGCACTCACCGGGTCTCTGTTGATTTGCTTTGTTTTGTCTACAGGACTACGGGGCAGCCCGAGAGTCCCAGTAGGATTGTGATTTGTTTCTAAGTTAACTTTCTGGAGGAGTATTTCAGAGAGGGATAGGAGGCATTGTTCAGTACGTCTCTTCCCAAAGCGTCCCACACTTCACTGAACTCTTCCTCTTCTGAATGCAAAAACCCAAAAGTGTGTGTAGTCAAGGAAGAGACAAAAGGTAAATAAGGATGTCACGACAGAACCCATGGTCATTGATAGAATTTACAGTCCCTTCTCCTCGCCCTCTCCTTACCTCACCCCCATCATTCTCCAAGTTACAATCCTGTTTCATTTAAAGACTGTTTATAGGGTTTGCAAATGGTTGTGAGTTTTATATTCTTTTAAATACCAGTAGTTGTATGAAACAACACCTGTTTTAGTCCTCGCTCTCTTACTTTAAGGGAACTTTTAAAAAGTGTTAGTGGAGCCAGGTGTGGGGTGAACACCTTTAATTCCAGCACTCAGGAGACAGACATCTCTGGGAGTTCAAGGCCAGCCTGGCCTACATAGCAAGTTCCATATCAGCTGGGACTATATAGTGAGATCCTATCTTTAAAAAAAAAAAAAAGGTGGAGATAGGATAACACACCACACATGCTTACTACAACATCTGTATCAAATTTAAGGGCTTTTTCTAAATTAGAATTAGGATTTTCATCTATATGGTAAATAGAGATCTGTACTAGAATAAAAATCAAACACAGTCATCCTTATCTATTAGGCTAAAGCCTTTCCTAGTATTACCTTTGACTAAATTTTAGAGAGATTTTGTTGTCATCCCACATACTAAGCAAGCACCCTGTCACTGAACTATATCCCCAGATCTTTTTTTACTTTTTATGTTGGGACAGGGAAGTCTCACTAAATTGCCCAAGCTGGGCCTATCTGTAGCCCAGTCTAATTTTTTTCTATTTTTTTTATGTTCTTACATCCTCCCTCCTTCCTCCCTTCTCTTCATCCCTCTCTAGGATAGATGGTATCCAGTATTTTAAATATTGTGTGTTGCTGTCTTGTCCACTGGAAGCATTTTCTGATAGATGCATACATGGGATTGATAAAATAGTCTGGGCAGTCTGGGAAGCTCTATTTAAGACTCCAGAACACTATAGTAAAAGTTTTTCATTCCTATTATTTTCCTAGGACTTCCTGAGGTAATGGAGAAAAAACCCATAATGGATAATCCCAAACCTCTTCCTGTTCCCCTTCAGAATGAATTCATCCCTGAGGAAGTTCTTCTTTCTCTAAACTATGCAGCCAATGCTGGTCCCTGTCCTGAAAACTTATTGCCTCCTAAGAAAGTTAAAGCCCTGAAGGTGTGTATTCACATATATAACATGTTTGAGAGCATCATCTTTTTGGTATTCAGGTCATTAAGTGTTTGATGGACATGAATTTTACATTTTAGATGATCCTAAAAATTTCAGCTTCAATGAAAAAAAAGATCTTATTTGTATGAGTGTTTTGCCTGCATGAATGTAAGTGCACCACATGTGTGCCTGGTATGCACAGAGGCCAGAAGAGGGCATGGGATCCCCTGGAACAGGAGTTAGGGATGGTTGTTAACTGCCATGCGGGTACTAGAAACTGAACCCCTGTCCTCTGGAGAAGTAAGTGCTCTTTTTAAAAAAATATTTTATTTTATTATTTTTATTTTATGTGTATGAGTGTATTGCCTGCATGTATGTGAGTGCACCCGTGTCATGCAATCCCACAGAGGTCAGAAGAGGGCTTCGGATTCCTCTGGAACTGGAGTTAAGGACAGTTTGTAGCTGCCATGTGGGTGCTGTGAATCGAACCCGAGTCCCCTGCAAGAGCAGTCAGTGGTCTTAACTGCTGAGCCATCTCTCCAGCCCCAGAAGAAGTAACTGCTCTTAACCACTGAACCATTGTTGCAGCCCCAGATTCAGATTCTTAAAAATTTATTATTAGTTGGGCTGGAGAGATGGCTCAGTGGCTAAGAACATTGGTTGTTCTTGCAGAAGACCCAGGTTCGAGTCCCATCACCCACATGGCAGCTAACAACTGTCCAAAACTCCAGTCCCAGGGGATCTAACAGCCCCTTCTGTCCTCCATGGGTATAGCATGACACAGATGCACTTACCTACATGCAGGCAGTACATGCATACACATAAAATAAAAATAAATAATTTTTTTGGTCTTTTTGAGACAGGGTCTCCCTGTAGCCCCAGCTGTCCTGGAACTCCCTATGTAGACCAGGCTGGCCTTGAACTCACAAAGATCCGCCTGCCTCTGCTTCCCAAGTGCTAGGATTAAAGGCATGTGCCACCATGTCTGGCAATAATGAATTTTTTAAATATTTTATTTATTAGCTGGGAGTGGTGGCACATGCCTTTAATCCCAGCACTTGGGAGGCAGAGGCAGGTGGATCTCTGAGTTCAAGGCCAGCCTGGTCTACATAGTGAGTTCCAGGACAGCTGGGGCTACAGGGAGACCCTGTCTCAAAAAGACCAGAAAAAAAATGATTATTAGTGCATGTGTAAGTTCAGGGATGCATGTGTAGAGGTCAGAGGACAACTTTCAGGAGTTGTTTCTTTCCTTTCACTGTGGATTCTGGGGATAGAACGCAGGTCATCAGGTGGCAAGAGCTTTTACCTGCTGAGCCATCTCACCAACCAGAAAATTCAGATCTTACCAGGCATGGTGACTGGTACCTGCAATCCCAGCACTTGGGAAGCTGAAGCAGGAGTATTGCCAAGAGTCTGAGACCACCCTGAGGTAATGAGTTCTAGGCAGCCTGGGCTACATAGCCTGTGTCATAAAACAAAAAACCCTCAGCCTTTTTGTACAAATGTTTTCAAGGGTTAACTATTTCCATTAACCTGTTTTATGTAAATTTACCAAATCTCAATATTTTTCCATGTTACAGAATACAAATTCTGCTCTTTCTCTATAAAAGCATCCCAGTGGGCATGGTGGTGCACGCCTTTAATCCCAGCACTTGGGAGGCAGAGGCAGGTGGTTCTCTGTGAGCTTAAGGCCAGCCTGGTCTACAAAGCATGTTCCAGGCTAGCTGGGGCTACAGGGAGACCCTGTCTCAAAAAAAAAAAAATCCAAATGCTCTTGATGTAAATATTCAAATTAGTTTTTGTTTAACTGGCGCACCCTCTGCTGGACATTTGTGTATTTTGCTTTTTCCCAGGGTACCCTTCCCCGAGTTGCAGACCATGTCTGGCATCACCCTATTCGAAGGAATAAATTCAAATACCTCATTGATCATCCTGTCTCCCTAACAGGAGCTGGAAGGTAAGAAAGGAAGAGAGAGTGGGATAGATGTATATAGATAGAATCACTGTCTCATTTTATACGATGGCCTTGGGAGAGACAGGATTGCAAAAACTGTAGAATCATGGATTATGAAACTTGCAGTCTCTCTGACAAATGAGATGCACTCCAAAAGGATACCTGTCAGTATCATAGCTACGGTTCTAGATTTGTGTACTTTTGGTTTATTGAAATCTTTTTGCATTTATTTATTTGTGTGGCACTCATATCATTGTGTGCATGTAGAGGTCAGAGTCAGTTCTTTCCTTCCACTGTGAGTTCCAGGGATTGAACCCAGTTGGTCAGGCTTGTTCAATAAGTGAATAAGTGCGTTTGCCCACTGAGCCATCTTGCCTGTCCTAGATAATAATTTTTTTAATTTAATTTTTATTTATTTGTGTGTAAGCTCATGTGCCATAGCACATGTGTGGAGGTCAACAGACAACTTTGTGAAGTCAGTTCTTTCCTTCCACCTTTATGTGGCTTCAGGAATTGAATTCAGGTTGTCAGTCTTGGTGGCAAGTACCCTATCTGCAGAGCAGTCTCTCCAGCCCCTGAGAATCTTTTTTGATAGACTTCTTCACCAGGGGAGCAAGGTAATTCCTCAAGGGGAAATCAGGATATTAGCACTTGGAGGAAGAGGAAATGGATGCATGGCCAGCAAAATCAGCTAATGTCCTCTGTAGCCATACTGGAAGGAAAGAGCACCCCAGAATAAGAATGGACAGGCTGAAGGAATCAGTCCGAAATCCACCTTAAAGTTAGGTTGATGGTCAGAGACATCTGAAAATACAGTGCAGTGGCATGAGTAACATGCTTTCGGGAGATTCCCCTGCAGAAGTGTATGGGCTTATTGGAGAGACCTGGGAACCCACTCTGTGAGGGTGGCTGTAGAATTCGTGTTAGCAGTAGATTCATGCTGAGGGCAAAGGATGCGAAGGGATCAAGTATGGATGTTGAGATTCTGATGACCATGTTACTCGGCAGCATTAGCAAATAGAGGGAGGTGAAAACAAACTGCAAGAGGTAACAGCTGTGAAAAGGTGAGGTTCGATAGCATCGTCAAGGAAGAAGGTGTAGAGGAAAAGCTGGAGAGATGTACACAACCTTGTGTGTTTCTGATTACAAGGAGGAGGGTAAAGAAAGTTCAAGAAGGGGCGCTAGGGTTGACAGAAGGAGGAGGAGTGTCCTGAAACACTGGGAATTGAGGGGTGTGGCTTCAAATAGAGAGGAGGTGGAACCTGGAAAGTATTCCAGGTAAGAATATGGAAGAAAATTAATTGCTAGGAGATTGACTTGGTAGTGTGAAGTTCTCATCAGATTTCTGGAGGACAGCTTCAGAACAGGGGTGTGGGCAAAAGTCAAATTGCAAGGTACTTTCAGAAACTTGACTCTAACAGAAAATGATAGATGTAGACAGGCAGGCAGGTAGCCAGATCATGATGACATCATAGCATGATCAAGGAAAGATTTTTAGACAGGGCAAAAGCTTGAGACCTAAGGGAATGTCTCAGTAGGGTGGCCAAGGTTATGCACAGAAATTATGGCTGTTGGAATGAGATTCTGAGGCTGAGACCACAACAGAGTCAGGCACACCACTGTGGGGAAGAGATCTGATCTTCATCTGAGACTAAGGAGAGTGAAGAATCCATGATGTGAGTGAGGCATTTGTGATGATGATGAGGAAGCATGTGGGGGAGACCCCTCCCTAATGTCTCAGTCTTCTTATAAAATATGAGGTGAAGAGGCAATTTTGCTGCTGTTATGTGACCATTTTACTCCCTAGTAGCTGATGTGTGGACTTTATCCATTCATTCTTGGAGAAATCTACCTTTAAAATGTATTTTTCTTATTTCTTAGGGATATTTCTTTTCTGTATGATGTTAAATACATAAAAGGAATTGCTCAGGAGAAGAATCTCTGTCCCCCAGTTACAGGTCGGTCATTACAGTCACAGGATGGTGCCATTGTACCTCACAAGGTAAAGTATCGGAGAAATCATTCTTTCCCTTGAAATAGTTTCTCTAAACTAGGCACCAATATCAGATTACAGCAACAACCTGCAGTGTGTGGCTGTCCAGTTATTTTTATCTTTTTAAAAAATTTTTATTTTATGTGTATGCATGTATTGCCTGCATGTAGGTAAGTGCACCTGTGTTGTGTAATGCCCGTGAAGGACAGAAAACGCTGTCGGATCCCCTGGAACTGGAGTTACGGACAGTTAGCTGCCATGTGGGTGCTGGGATTTGAACCTGGGTCTTCTGCAAGAACAGCCAGTGTTCTTAACCATGGAGCCATCTCCCCAGCCCCCAGTTATTTCTTTTTTTTAAATTAATTTATTATGATTAATAATTATTTTGATTTTTTTGAGGCAGGGTTTCCCTGTAGCCCAAGCTGGCCTGGGATTCGCTATATAGACCAGGATGGTCTCGATCTCACAGAGATCCTTCTGCCTCTTAAGTGCTGGGATTAAGGACATGTGCCACCATGCTTGGCTTCACGGCTTTTAAAAGTACAAAACCAGAAAAGACTAGAATTGGCTCCCTTCCCCCAGAGGAAATTCACATCTAAAGCTGTAGAATTCTATCTTTTCTTTTTGTTTTGAGATCGTTTTGCGAGATGGCTCAGGCCATCCTCAAACTTGTCATGTTCCCGCCTCAGCCTCCTTCTTGCTGAGTCCCAGACATTTGCCCTTACACCCAGCTAAGTTGAATACGTCTCACCTTTGGCATTTTGCTATGCTGAATTTTAATTTTCTACTAAATTACAAAAGAAAAGGGGCTGGGTGTGGTGGCATACATCTTTAGTATCAACACTGGGGAGACAGGCAGCAGATCTCTGTGAGTCCCAGGCCAGCCAGGGTTACATAGTGAGACCCTATCTCAAAACAAAAGAAAACAAAACAAAAACCGAAACAAAGAAAAACCAACAAACCAAGCAAACAAAAGAAATAAAGAAACAAAACAGTTAAAGGATTTCTGAATGTAGCTGGCTGTCTTTATCTGAGCTCTTCATACCAGATACCATACAACTACAAATGGAAAATGCTTGAAAAAGACTGGATCTGAACTAAACAAGGACAGGCTTTTTCTTGTTGTTATTCTGTAAATAATTCAGCATGACTACCACTTACATACAATTTCCTTGTATGAAATATTACAGTAGTCTAGAGTTGGTACAGTGTGAATGATGTGCATAGGTTATACACAGATCCCATAGCATTTTAGGTAACAGAACTGAGCACCTGGATTTTGGTATCTGGGGAATCCTAAAGTCAGTCCTCTGCAGATACCAAGGAATGCTTGTAACGTAATAAAAATCTCTTCTCTAACTTATGTGTGCCTGGTTTATAGTTTTTTTTTCTTTTTAAAAAAAATGTTTTATTTTTTATTTTTATTTTATGTGTATGAGTCTATGTCAGTATGCAAGTGCACCCATGTTGTGCAGTGCTCTTGGAGGTCAGAAAACGGTGCCAGATTCCCTTGAAACTGGAGTAGTGGACAGTTGTTAGCTGCCATGCGGGTGCTGGGAATCGAACCCAGGTCTTCCGCAAAAGAAGCCAGTCCCCTTAACAGCTGAGCCATCTTTCCAGGCCCTATAGTATTTTTTTTTCATTGCTATGAGCCACATTACTAATATTGTTATTTGTCTTAACAAAATCTCTTAAAGTTGGTCATGGTGGTTCAACACATACAATCCCAGATCTCAGGAGGCAGAAGCAAGGAGATTACCCAGAGTTCCAGGCCAGCCTGGTCTACATAGTGAGTTCTAGACTAGCCAGAGCCACATAAAAAACCAACTAACCAGCCAACCAATCAACCAACCAACCAACCAACCAAAGAACCTAGCACCAACATCACCCCCCCATCTCTCAACTTAATAAACAGCGTCCCTTTGGCACAGAAATTAAAATTATCTCAATTTTTCATCTATTAATATTTGCTTCCTTTTCTTTTCTTTATAAGCCAAAGACATTAACAGATACTTTGGTCCCTGAAGAATTTCATATTGTATCAAATACAGGAGTATCCGGTTTGGAGTGTTATGATGAGTGAGTACTACGATATTTGTTGAATACCTCACATGAACTGTTTTCTCCTTCTCACACCTAGAATACCTTGAGGACAACACGCTATTCTCCTAGGGCAGAAGGGAATGTTTAGGCTGTCTGCTCTAGCACAAATTAAGAAAGATTATACAAAAACAAACAAAACTAATGAAAAGCATTTAAGAGTTTTGATTTCCCCCTTCTTTCTTTCCTTCCTTCTTTCCTTCCTTCCTTCCTTCCTTCCTTCCTTCCTTCCTTCCTTCCTTCCTTCCCTCCTCCCTCCCTCTTTCCTTCCCCCTTCCTTCCCATTCCCCTCCCCCTCCCCTCTCTCTTCCCCCCTTTCTTTTTCTTTCTCCTCTCCACTTCTCCTGCGTCTTTTTGTTTGTAGAGCCAAGTAAACATAGATTTGTTAAGGAAAGGTGAGCAAGCTCTTCTGAGTCAGAGGGGCTCCAAGGGAGGAATGCCAGAGTTTTAGTTATCCTGATTGAATAGTTCTGCTTTTCCTGCCATTTAATTTACAACATTTAAAAAAAAAGAACTTCAAGACTGGAAAGATGGCTCAACAGTTAAGAGCACTGGTGCTCTTGAGAGGTCTGGGATTCAGTTTCCAGCACCCACATGGAGGCTCACCACTGCCTGTAACTTCAGTTCCAGGGGATCTGATGCCCTTTTCTGGCCTCCATGGGTACCTGCCTATACAAGGTACACAGTACATACACATTAAAAAAATAAGAATAGAGAGGGCCAGGAACATAAAAATCCACAAATGACCAAAAAGTAGAGAATAAGAGTTGGCCAAGTGTGGGTCCATGGACAGGACTCCTATGCTGAGGTCCACCCACCCAGGGCTCAGGGACCATTGTGGAAGAGGGGGCAGAAAGATTATAAGAGCCAGGGAGGTGGTACATGACCATATGGAAATAGTCCTAGAGACACCTGGGACCCCTCTCATATAAACCTACAGCAATGGTGTCTGCATTGCTGCACACTTAGGCAGACAAAAACCCAGCACAGAACTATGGAAATGAACAGCAAGCCCCAATCTTAGTTGAATAATTATTGGCAGCTGATTACTGCTGGATGAGGAAGAACTGACCTTGAAGAGAGAGACTCTAGATAGGCTGACTAAACCCTATGGATGAACTTGCACTGAGGGATACCTCAGGATGCTAACTTTACATAATAGGCCTTAATACAAATGACAGAATGTATGAACTCCGTTGGGGAGGGTGATGGCAGGGTGCCAAAGGAGAAGGGTGAAGGGGGTATAAAAATGGTTTTATGTATGAGATACACAAAAATGCAATAAAAAATTTAAAATAATAAGAATAGGCTGGGCAAGGGAGCACATGCCTTTAATCCTAGTACTTGGAAGGCAGAGGCAGGTGGATCTCTGTGAGTTTGAGACCAGCCTAATCTGTGTAGCAAGTTCCACACCAGCCCCAGGGCTACATAGTGAGATGCTGTCTCAACACCCCCTCCCCAAATAAATAAATAAATTTAATTAAATAAAAATAAATCAATCTTTAAAAAAAAATGGAACTTTGAAATGGGTGTGGTGCTACACACCTATAATCCCAGCACTGGGGAGGCCAAGGGAGAAGGATTACAATTCAAGGCCAACTTGGGCTACATTGAAAGACCCATTCTCCAAAACTGAAACCAACCAACCAATTAAAATAGAACTTTGCTCTGAACTCTTACATGAAATGGCCACGACCATGTAGACAAAGGGAAGTGGTCCAGGGCTTTGCTCCAGACTCTAAAGTAGGTATTTAGTTTTTGCTGATTCCTGTTTACGCAATTGAAAGCGAGTCGTGCTTTCATTTTCTAAAGCAACAGTTGACTATTTCAGAGTTGTTTTTCTTTTCTTTCTCCTATTTTCAGTACTGGGAATACATGCCAGGCAAGGGCTCTACCACTGAGTTACATCCCAAGCTACCTTTGAAAATGCCAGAAAACACTTTTGTTGTTTGGTTGTTTTTGTTGTTGTTGTTTTTAAAATTATGCTTACTTATTTATGTGTGTATGTGTATGTATGTGTGTATTTGCACAAACTTTAGAAGACAACTTTAGTTGTTTCAAATATCCTTCTACCATGTGGGTCCCAGGGATCGACCTCTGGTCATCAGGGTTGATGGCCAGAGCCTTCTCCTGATGAGCCATATTGCAAGGCTTTAAATTATTTTTTTAAAAAAATTCTTTTTAGACAAAAGTCTTATGTATCCCAGGTGGGTCTTGAACTCTATGTAATGGAAGATGAACTGATCCTCCTACCGCTGCCTCACAAGTATTGGGGTTTCAGGCCTGTACCATCACCCCTAGCTTTACTTTTTTTTTTTTTCAAATGAATCAAGGAAATCTTCATATTTTGACATATCAAGGAATGAGATTAAATTTCTTTTACTAAAAATGAAATAGGATCAATGTCATTAGTGATAGGTAAAAATGTTGGGAGAGAGCGTGCGCGGATGGAGAGGTGGTGGATGGAGGAGGCAGCAAGGCACAGATAGAATTCTCAGCGGGATACAGATTTATTTCGCACGGGGCACCTTTCCCTTGGGGAAGGGAAAGATGTCAGCGAAGGGAAAGATGTCAGGGAAAGATGTCAGGGAAAGGAAAGATGTCCGGGAAGGTCAGGGAAGGGAAAGATGTCAGGGAAAGATGTCAGGGAAAGGAAAGATGTCTGGGAAGGGCAGGGAAGGGAAAGATGTCGGCCCACGGGCTGTGAGCTGGGACTTTATATATGGGGGCTTTAGGGTGTAGAAGGGGGGAATGTTTGGGGGAGAAATCAGGGAGGGGGAAGCAGGAAAAGCAGGTAGGATTAGGGTCTGGAAGTGTTTACTTTTTCCCTCTTAAGAGAAAAACAGCTTCTAAAATCTCTGGTTATCAGGTAGAATCTGCTTATCCTATCTTTGGAGGTCAGAGGAAAGGCAGGCTGCTTCTCAGCAGAGTTTGTTTCCCTTGACTTCAAAGGTCAAGGTGCTTATCAGCTAAGTTCCCTTTTTCGGGCTCCAAAGTCTGTAGGTCCCTGTTGGGGGGGGGGAGCTGCTGCTGTTTGGAACCCTAACATTCCAGCCTTTTGTGTTATAGGATAGAGGGCGCCGTTGTCATCTTGCTACTTCCTGCTGGACAGGGTCGATGTGGGGAGTAGGCTGGTTTAGGGGTCCACTAGGCAGCAGGGTTTGTCTCTCCATACATCTGAACAAGGTCCTCGATGGTTGACAGGTGTTCGTATACATGTGAAGGGAAGGAAAGTAACAACTGATTAAAATTAGTATGCGTTAGTTTTCGGATCTGGTTCTGAAAATATCTGACAAGGCAAGGAGCAATGGTTAGCACCAAAGTGATAGAAAGCAGAGGGCCCAATAAGGGCAGAAGCCAAGGAGTTAGTACTGTAAAAATGTCCCATTGAGATGACTGTTGGTACTGGGAATTTTTAAGTGAAAGATTTTTTGCTACCTGTTTGAGTTGTTCTATATCATGTTCAACCTTACCAGATTGGTTGATAAAATAACAGCATTCGGCACCCAGAAAAATACAGGTTCCCCCTTTTTCTGCAGTTAATAGATCCAGGGCTCGCCTGTTCTGGAGTG